CTGCCCACAGCCCAGCACGGTCTGGCAGCCCTGGAACCCCCCCCGCCCAAACGCTTGCATTTCACTAACCACCTTTTTCTCACCCACAGCCTATTTCCAGCGGAAAATAACAGAGTACCGTGAACAGAAGAAGCACCGAAGGGACTCCTGAAGTCCAACTGGGGAACACGGGGACGAGCAGGTCCCCACCAGCATCAGCCCCGCACTGGGCAGCCCCGCGGCGTTCCCCCGTCCGAGGGCAGATCACGCTGCGCTCCGCTGCATCTCTCCGCCGGTTCCTACCCATCCGTGACTCACGACATGTGTGGGCAGCACCGAATGCCGGTTTCTACCCTTTCTTTTTTTTTCCTTGGGGCATCATTGCACTGGAAAACTCTTTTTTTTTTTTTTTCTTTTTTTTTTTTGCACGGGGCTCGCAAGCAGGCTGGGATTTCTTTTCTGACCTTGCTAAGCAAGAGGGACAAACGGTGACTCATGGCGCTCGGCGCTGCACAGTCTCTGGCTCCATCAGGACCTCCCGCAGCGAGGGAGGGAAGGCAGGGAGCTGGCTGCCAGACAATAAAGCTTGTAGAGTTGAAAAAAAAAAAAAAAAAAAAAAGAGGGATGAGTAGGAAATAGAGTTATTTCTAATTAAAACAAACCTAGGTTTTGCAATTAAGTAACATCCTAGCGAATAAGTTTCCGAGGTTTCCATTATAAACAACCATTTCTCTTTTATTTTCTATCAAGATACGCTCGTTGTTAAATACCAGCCGGAACCGTTGTGGTGGATTTTAGCGGTTTCCTCTCTAGCAGCCGTCTGCTTCGCTGGTACCGCTTAGAGCCCAGTTTAGATCTTCAAAGAAACAAAAATCTTCTTTTTCAACAGGTTATTTATTTGTGTGGGAAGCAAACTGTGAAGGCCACAGGGCTGTGTGCTGTAGTAGGGGGAAACGGCTGATCAACAGCTTTGGGGAGGGAGGAAGCATTTGTTAAATGCAGTAGTAAAACATGTCGACATCCTCCTGGTTGCTGGTTTTGATGCCCGCTTCTTTTAAAACCGCGCAGTTCATCGAAGCGCCGTCCCCGAAACGTGGTGCAGGCAGCAGATTTAAAGCTAAATGAGGGATTTTCCCCCTTTCCTGATGCACTCGTCCAGGGAATGGATATCGCAGCAGGGAAAGCTGGTGCTGGCTGCAGACCTGCTGGTTCCTTCCCAGACAAACCAGGGCCGGATTCTTCTCCCAGCAAGGGCTGGGGTCGAAGGCACAGCTTCGTTCCCCTCGCTGGGGTGTTACCACCCGGCTGCCGTACCCCCCAGTACCCACTAGACGCATTCACGCACACAGATGTTATCAAAAATATCGTTTAATACAACTTCGGCAGTGGCAGTGAGTGCCACAGTGAGAGATTTTACGTAAACACTAAAAAATAAGCAGACTGAGGGCCAGACAGCGTTCGCTTTCAGAGCTGCCCAACGTCTTAACAAAAACAAGACCCGTGTAAAGAGCATTTATTTTAGAATTAGTGCAGTCATGCACAGACACAAGCGCCGGAGACACAGCTGGGCAGAGGGCACCAACCGAGCGGCACTGAACCTCTCTGGCCCTGAGGAAAGAAAATTGTTGCTTTTCTGTTCAGCCCCTAATGTGTGTTTGGAGGGTAGGACCAAGAGGAAAAGGGGATTTTTGGCTCTGCGGAGGTCTTCCCTGGCTCCACAAGTTCCCCCTCATGGCTAGAGAGAGTGTTACGGGTTACCTGTGGGAAATTAAAGGTTAGTGGTCTTTTCCTGTGTTCTGTTCGTTTAAAAAAGTTTCACCAGCAGAAAATAGTGTGTGTGTGGAAAATCAAGGGCAGCTATCAAGAATTGTCCCTTTCGAAAAGACCGCTTGCCCCCTCCTTCTCCTGCTTCTTCATTGCCCTTTTGAGAAGATGCTGACCATTTTGGTTGCGAAGCATAAAGATATTGAGAAAAACGAGAAAAATGGGAAGTGGTCCTTGCTTTGGCAGTAACTCTGTAGAAAAGCAGAATTAGAAATCGCGTACAGGACTGGATTGTGTGGTTGCCTAACTCCTGCCAGAGGAAAAATAGAAGGTTATTCCTTAGCTGCTGAAAAGAAAACAGAGATACAGAAAAACTGATCCTTAAATTCAAAAAGAAAAAGGTAGTTCAAATGTAGCCAGTGCTACAGATGTCAGCAAGGGTTAACTCCAGCGAGCTGGATGGGTTGGTGCCACCTCCTGTGACTGCTGAACAAAGAACAGGTTGAAATACCATCTTAAGTTACTTAAAGCACTTTTCCTTTTAGCATTGTTATGGAAAAAGAGACCTAGATCCATCCCCAGGGACCAGCCCACAAAAGCATCTTTTGTGAAGCCCATCAGCTCTCAGCTCAGCTTCTCAGTTGGCTACAGGAGACAAAAGTGGACAGCAGGACAGAGCAACACGAGCAACCAGGCACTTTGGCACTGACTTCTCTCCCCACTGTCCAGCAGCAGCTTCAGAGCTACAGGTGGTGGCTGAAGGTCTCTTGTGAGACCCCCCCCTGCAGTGCTGCCTCCAGCTCGGGGGGTCCCACCAGCAGAAGGACACGGAGCTGTTGGAGCGGGGCCAGAGGAGGGCACGGAGATGCTCCCGAAAGCTGGAGCCCCTCTGCTGGGAGGACAGGCTGGGAGAGTTGGGGGGGTTCAGCCTGGAGAAGAGAAAGTGAAAAAGGGGAGACCCCAGAGCCCCTTCCAGTGCCTAAAGGGGCTCCAGGAGAGCTGGGGAGGGACTCTGGGTCAGCAGTGGAGCCATAGGACAAGGGGGAACAGTTTTATACTGAAAGAGAGGAGATTTAGATGAGATATGAGGAAGAAATTCTTTCCTGTGCGGGCGGTGAGCCCCCGGTGCAGGTTGCCCCAAGAAGCTGTGGCTGCCCCCTCCCTGGAGGTGTTCAAGGCCAGGCTGGACATGGTCTTGGGCAACCTGGTCTGGTGGGAGGTGTCCCTGCCCAGGGCAGGGGGGTGGGACTGGATGATCTTCAAGGTCCTTTCCAACCCAAACCATTCTGTGATTCTATGAAGACGCTGAGAAGGAGAAAACAAGCCCAAGGGCATCATCTGTTCCAGGACCCCCACAGGTCCCCCCATCCCCTCGCACATCTTTTCCCTTTCAGTATGCTGTTAACCTTCCTGACAACTCTGTTTTTCTTTCCTAAGCCTGTGTGACTGATGTCGTTCCTGATCAGCAAGTTTTAAGGGTTTCTTAAGTTGGGTTGGTCTGAACATTGAAAAGCAGCTCGATATTATCGTGCTTGGTCACTCACCTGACTGCTGCAATCTGGCAAGAGCTTTAACACCCTCCCTTTGATGCCCGCGAGTGGACAGACTATTGCAAGAAGCAGGTGCATCCCTATGATCAATCAAGATCGTTGAAGAAAGAAGACACTGTGCTGAAAGGGCAGATGCGGAATGAAATACCCTCTTTATTTCTCTGAACTCAGCCTGCCTCTCTCAAACCACCTGCTTGCAGGTGGGGGCACTGCGTTTGCTGCTGGAGACCCCGGGGTAAACTCAGCCGCTGTTTGCCGGGAGCACGGACCCATCCAGCTGAGCTCAGGTCACATTGCAGTGCATCAGCAAAACTCGCAGCGTATTTTTAAATCCTTCTTCCTGCTCAAGATTTGTCTAACACTCGCTCTACGTCTGTAACAGTAAATAAAACTGTGCCAAGAAATGTTTTCCCTGAACTGGAAAGTGCTCATTTATTCTGCGAAATTGTTAACATAGTTCCCAGCACAGTATAAGCCAACTCACACTCGTACAAACAACTCCCAGGCATGGTTTGGGAGTCAGCTCAGGAATCGCTCCCGATTTGCGGCTCAATTCCTGCTATGCAGCTGCCCTGCTTGCAAGATAAATTTCACGTTATGGCATGTGTCACCCTCTGCCAGCTGGCCGGGGTGCCAGCAAACAGTCCCGGGCATATTTAACCTACCAGAGTCAACGCAGTCATTACTGCTAAGTGCTTTCAGATTGCTCCAGTGCAATGATAGACACAGCGCCTACCTCAGCTCATTTCCCACCTGGCTGTAACCTCTGAAAATTGCTGCAGTCTTCACCTCCTGCACTCTGGAAATTATTAAACTTCTCTGCAATTCCATTTCAGACCCAGAGGTGGGGCGTAGCAGCCCTGGAGGTACCCGGTGCGTGCAAGGTAGGAAGGAAAGAACAGAAAAATACTGAAGTGAAACAAAACTGACACTGGGATGAAAGAGAAGTGGCGCCCGAGGTACCTTGACCTTTTTCCTGCGTTAATCCCTTTGCCGAAGCAAGGGAACTCCTTTACCAGTTCTTATAAGAGGCAACACTCCAACACCAAGTGGAAACTTTCAGCTCGCCGTTACAGTTCTACAGAAAGACTTGCTTAACAGAGAACAGGTTGTGTTTGTTTTGAAGGGAGTCTACTCAGACACAGGTGTTCCAGAAGCTCAACAGGCCACTGCTGCAAAAGCTCTGCCTTCTACGTGTCTTCTGCATGCAACGGAAAGTGAAAAAGCATGTCACGAGATCACGCTGAGCCAGTAAAAATTCTGTTCCACTTCTCCGCTCCTCGAGCAGCCTTAGCTCTACCCGCATACCTGAGTAACCTCTGATCACAAACAAGACAATACTGTAACGTACCAGTGCCAGGGGTAAAGTTCATTTATTCCATAATTTATTACAGGCATTTATACAAAACCTATATCCACAGCAACACTTGATATGGCTTGCATTGCCAGCAGTAACTATTCCCTGATAACACTGAAACTTCAGGGGAATTTGTTCCTGCCTGGCTGATCGCAGAGGGCATTCACACTTCCAGACAGTGACAAGCTCAGGAAAAGATGCCCTATTGCATTTCCCGAACACCAACAGGCTTTAGCTTAGACGTGCTTTGTAAACAGAAGTTTGGTCCTAGACTACAACCGTTTAACGTCTTCAGTTCTTCACCAGTCTCAAGTATCAGTGACAAATTATTTGGAGCAGCTTAACCTTAAAACCCTGACAACCAAGAGCATGATTCTCCTTGTTTGCATCTCTAGAAAAGCACTTGCACTCCAGGGAGGGACTTTCCAAGCGACGGAGTTTTGCACCCACTTCATGCCGATGAAGAGAAACACGTGATTCGTGAAAGGGGAGATGGGTCCT